GAATTTCTACAGAGTAACTTGAAAGAACTGGGGAGTTTAACATAAGACAGTTAGACCAGTTTATAATGTTGCTTCCATTTCTTCATATTCTTAGTGTATTTCAGACACGTTCACTCATTGTATACATCTTTAAGCTCCAGACACCTTGGAGAAATATGCTTTTTTCATAGTTAAGCTACCTGAATACATCTTTCTTGTGTAAACCTCATGACATTATTACAAATCTGGGTTAGTTTTGGGATGACTTCGGCACAGCCAAGTGCTGGAGTCTAATTCACACAGCAAAAACCAGTTGGTCATCCATCTCTTTCTTCCTACACACGCACACAGGCATGTACACAGGCAAACTGTCATCAAGTCTGCTAGCTTTTTCGGGAATTAATTTGTGGGGGGAGGAAGGTTGGCAATGATTTATTGTGCAGCACCATGAACACCTGCAATACAATCAGTAGCATCACTTAAGAGTAATCTGGAAGAAATTGCACTCTTCTAGGAGCAAAAACTGAATACAGAAGGAGTCATATCTTTGAGTGCTGCTCATTAAACAAGTACTTGGTTAAATCCCTGACTATGCACTATTGCTCAAGGCACAAGGCATCTGTGTTAGCCTCTCTAAAATGATCAGTTCAAGAGTTTATCTTAAGAGAAACAACAGGTCAAGTCGATTCTACTGTTTCTGTGTAAGAGAAGTTATTTTACTACATATAGCGTCTAAGAGTTAATCAACCAAATCTTCTTACCACCTGTCTCTTAGAATGAAATGACCACGTAAGGTCTTTAGCAAAGAACAAATCCCGGGAAATTAAGTCTTGGACTCATAATGTATTAGAAATAGAACAGATTCCCTTCCCACTGCCCACGTTCAATGAATTTGTACTCACCCTCTGTGTAATGTTTTTTCCTTCTTTGACTCGCACTGCCAATCCAAGATCAGACAGTCTGCAATTACCGTTATCATCCAGGAGGACATTTTCTGGTTTCATGTCCCGGTACACAATCTTCATGGAATGGAGATGCAGAATCCCACAGGTGATCTGAGCTGAATAATAGATGACCCTGTTCATTTCCAAACCCCTTTCTCCCACATTGTAGATGTGAAACTTCAGATCCCCTCCATTCATGAGGGTCATGACAAGACACAGGTGGGTTTTGGTCTCATAGGCATAAGCTAGTGTGACTATGAAAGGACTGTTGACCTTCTCTAGGATCTCTTTCTCCAGTAGTGCCATCTTCTCTCCACCTTTCTTTTTCAGCCTTTTCTTATCCAGTTTCTTGCAGGCATACATCTTGCCAGTATTTTTCACCTGGATGGCACAAACCTAGAGAAGCAAGATGCATGAGGAAAGGTAATGAAGGAATTTTACGCATACAGACCGGAATATCAAGGGCAGTAATAGGCAGGAACCGGGGAATCACAGATGCGTATTAGTAGCTGCTGATGCTAACTTCCGTGGCAGAGTGTATTAACAGAGAAAATAAGGAAAAAACAAGCATACAACCTGTTCTGTTCCGTACCAGTATATGGTGGACCTTATGCAAAGTTCTTGAGGACACCATTAGTAGACATGTGTTAGCAAATAAAACGAACAAGAACCCATTCTCTGACAATGAGAATAAGCGGCATATACAGCTTGCGTCTGTACAGCTAAACTCTCTTCCATCTCAAAAAAAAAGGTAGCCTTATTCATACTGCATTTTGGGAACAGATCCTGTTCTGTGTTATTCCCTAAACTGCACCTAGGAACCATCTGGGAGTGTGTGAGATAGCACAGGCTAAAACAGTGCCAAGGAGCAGACTAACAATGAACTATATAGACCGTCATGCAAGCTTTTGTAAAGAAGCCTGCTTTTTACTAGCATAGATACCGAATATAAAAATTTTAGAGTAGCTCTTCACTAACAGGCATCTGGAGCCTCTATCACAGTATAGATAACAAACCCAGCCTAATTTCTGGGAAATGGACTATCTGAAGGAGCAAGTTTTGCAAAACCTTGGACAATTTCTTAAACCATTGCCAAGTTCCTCTTTGCAAACCCACCTGCTGGTCTTGAAAGGGGATGACCCACATCCTTAAAAGTACAGCTCTTACCTCTCCAAAGCCACCTTTGCCCAGCACTCGGAATTCATAGAAGTATTTCTCAGTTACCGGCTGATTCTCAAAAACTTTCCATTGGATGAATTTGTCATAGAAGGGGCTGGTCTGGAACTCCTGGAAAGGCTTGTCTTTAAGGAAGAGTTTGGATTCCTCCTTGGCCAGCTGTATGACATTCTCATAGTCTTCTGCAGTAGCTGCCTGGCATTTGCTGGCCAAGTCAGAGCTCATGAAAGCCAGACAGTTTTTGGAGCCTGCCTTAAGAAAATTGGTGATCATATTCTCCATGGTACTGCTCTTGACAGTGTCCTCTGCCAACTCCCAGTTTGACACCTCATCCAGGAAGTCCCTAGCTACCAAATATTCTGGCACTGTGTCTAAGAAGTCTCTGAAGAATTTCTTGCCAATGGGCTGCTGCTCACAGATGCTGTCATAATCAGCAACAACAGACTGTCTAGCCTCTCTGCATTGATCAACGTTGGGCAGTGAGAGGCTCTTACGTTTCTTTTGCATCTCCCTGCTGTCTCCATCTCCACTCTTCCTTGCCTGCAGATAGGCGGTGTTGGCAATCAGGTTGTCAAGCCCCCCCATGTCACACATCTTGGCAAGCTCTTGGGGTGGCAGAGCTTGGTTGAGACAAAACGAGTAACTGGCCCAAGTGCTGTGCTGTAGCTGCCCTGTACTTCTCCCTGCTAGTAGTGTGTGGGAGCTTCTGAAAAACACCAGAGAGACTAACTGCTTTTGCATTAAATACCTCTCAAGGATTTTCACTAAGTACCTTTAGGTATATGCACCATTCGTGGAAAGTGACTGGTAAGAGGTTTCTCTGTAAGGAGCTTTGAGTTTGCTATGTATAGCTGAGGGATGACATCCTAGACAAACCTTCTCACTGGCAGCACCAAACGCACACAGTTCAGCTGCTGTTTTTTAGAATGGACCCTGATAACCTTTAAGCGCACCAAGATTCCCTCTATATGCACTGTCCCTGGCTGCTCAAAACATGCAGAGATTCCTGTCTGCAATACATGCACACTCCAAACTCAGTGGCACTCTGGCCACAGTTAATAGGACAGCCTCATATCTCCCTTGCTTGACACAGAGACCACCAATGTACTAAGAATTATGTAAGTTGGGATCTGTTTTTACAAAAAGCTTTTATCGCAAATCTGCCATGCCTGAAACAGAAGTTGACATAGACGAACATGAGTCACTCAGCTTTAAATTATCACACAATTCAGTGCTTTCAGCATCCACACTTCCAAAACTCAAGTTATACTCAACATCAATGACTGAGCTCCACAGACACTTTGTGCAAACCTTGATGTGGCTCGCTCTGAGCAGATTACATGCAGAGCCTAAGACCTGCTGCTGGTCTAAAAATAATGATCCCTATATATGAAACAACATATAATTCTGACTTCATCTCCTACCCACAGAAAAAGGAAAAACATTTCAAATGACCAGCCAAATCTTGCCAAGACACTTCCATATGTTATTGTGGCCTCAGTTTATTTTCCCTGCTGAGCTTTATGACAGTAGGTGTAGGATGAGAAGGTGGTAAACAGCGTATGGCTGAGGTGGCATCAACAAAGGGACAAAGCTGATTATAGTCAAGTGAAGGCAAATTCCACCGGACTTCACTCATTGGCTGCCTACCAGGAAGCCTGTGCCCCATTTTTTTCCCAAAAGAATAAAAATCATATGTAGCACTTTCTAGGCTAAGCTGTGGGGTCATGCGATTTGGCTGCTAAAACTTTCCTTAAATATAAGGAAGGTATTATGGGAACAGGAAAAGCAGTTCCATGATTCTTCCAGTAGCAATGGGGTCAAGCTGTACTCTTGAAGTCAAGGTCAAGTTTCCTTTTCTCTTTTTTCACTCTTAGAGCAAGTTGAAGAGCTGAATCACAAACGCTAAACATTAGGAGTAACAACAAGCACCTCCCAGGCTCCCTACAGTACATGCTAAGCGCTTCTTGGCTGCTTTTTGTCACTCTACTACTATGCAGTATTTTGTTTTTACATGCTTAATCCTGTCTGCGTTGAGTCCATTTGACATATAACTCATGCTTATACTCTACAAAATTACATTAGAGGTGTGAGTGTTTTTCTAGCTGTGATTGAGAGGGCCATCCATCGCAAACTGCTATGTGTGCATGAGAATGCGGCGTACTCTAAAGCGGAGTATTTGAAAGTCTTGCTTGTATAGCAATCACTAATTCTGCCAGGTGAATGCAAGCACAGGGCAGGAGAAGGTTACATAAAGGTCTAAATAATGCAGCCAGCAGAGTAAGCAAAACTGAAAAAAGTCAAAGAAAAAAATGTGGAATTCTGCTGGTGGCTTTCCTGAAAATGGTGCCCACAGCAACATATTCCTGTAATATCCTGGGTACAGAGAGGCAAGAAAGGAGGTAATAAAAGCTTTAATTTCAGCAGAGTCTTTTTTACATTTAGCAAGAATGCCACCACAGCTCAAACAGTAGCAGTATGAATGGCTGGTAGTTGGGGACCTAAGGGTGAAGTCAAGCTTACACCAGCTATTGATATATTCACGTCTAAGCAAATCAAGCGAATACCTAATGTTTACGGTATCTGCATAAGAAAGACACATTTACAGCTCCAAAAATCATTCTGCTCTGTTAATCAGAATCTTTCCTGATTTCTACAGAACATAAGCTTTCTCTAAAAGAACATAACTTCATAAAAAGCAAAGTGAAACAATACGATCTTTGGACACATATTCATTAGTCCAGTCACTTTGAGAGAATACTCTAGCTAGATTTGCGGAATTATCCAAATCTGCCCAGCATTTATTAAACAGCAGAGAAAAGTAGATCAGCATTAATCTATTAGTCGATAATGGCTATTTAAGTTAGTGTTACCTACTCATAAAACAGTATGTTTGGGTGAGAAGCAAAACTGATTTATTTTGCATGTACAAGAAGTGAACAAATTCAGGACTAAAAATGGGTACTTATTAAGAACTACGCTAATGGAGTATCAGGGTATGATTTGGAACAGAAGAAAGTTCCTCTGGTGCAAAGCTCATAGAAAGACTGGGACTTAAGCTAATCTCTAAATCACAGAGGAAAATATGCAGAACTTAAAATTCATTACCTTATATTCTAGGCGAACCTCTACTGGTCAACAAGATACTTATAATACACAAACAGATATACACAAATATCAGCTGCTTTGATTTCAACATTAACTTTCCTAATACCTCATTTGTGTTAACACCTGCTTGAGCTGACAGTTTGCAAACTTTTCTACAATTATAATTCTCAGCTACTCTTGTCATGCACGTGACGTGAACTGAAAGCAGGGTGAAAATTACTTTGGTACTTTCCATATTCACCTATAAACCAAAGCAAAATGAAGAAAGAAGTCCTCTGATGGGACTAGATGGAGTTAATAGAGGTTAGAGGATGGAGCCTGGAACCAAATTCTGGCAGAGAAAATAGGTGGTAGTTAAGATATAGTTTAACTTTGACAGCTAAAAATTATTTCCACATCCAACCAGGCATTCTTTTGCAACCATTTTAGAAAGAATCCTTTTACACAAACAGAAATACTCTACAACAACGGAAATGCTATAGGCACTTCATTACTACTGTTAACCTATTTTATATTTGTTTTCAATTTTAAGACAGACATCATCCGGGATAATAACCACCAATGTGATACACTGTAACAGTGACACAGAGGATTTTTTTTATCTCAGTGTGTAATGAGACAAAAGCTGTATTTAAAAAATTCAAAACATTTTAAAAACAGGATTACAAGTGTTAAACAAAAACACAGGAAACTCTGCATGTATGCTTGATGACACAAAGATTGCCACTGGAACTACTTTACACAGCGAAGATAAACCTCTTTAAATATACTTAAACAGCACTAAATAGAAATACATCTGCTGAGAAATGCATTAATCTTAAACATTTAAGATGGTAATTTTGAAGTAAACAATGATATGCATATAACATTGCTTCAATTTCGCCCAGGTTTATTAACCATTTTATTAAGCCTGAATTTGTTACAGACTTAAAGCAGTAATTCAACCTATTACATATATTAAAAAAAAACCCCACAGCATATGTTCAGATTAATAGTAATTACTTCAGATATTTTTAGCGAAAAGACAAAGTCAGAGGCAAGCACTTAAATATTTGTAAGAAAAAAATCACACCATATGAAAAAGGTGATATATTGAGGATTTCCACAAAAATGAAACAATGCTTTCTCCCACTTCCAAAACATTGTAACCAATAAAATGATGATAAAGAAATTTCTATTAACTGAATTTTCATGAAACCACAATTTAACATTTTTACCTATATTTAATTAGTACCTGCTTTCCTCGGGATATTTAAATTATCAGTTTTGTTTGCTTTCTATATTAGTCAGGTAACCAGCGAGATTTTTTACGCCCCTGGTTAACTGATATCAAATACCTGTCTTTGTACCAAAAGTCTCTGGATTAAAAATACGTCTCCATGATCTTTAACAGAAATATAAATAAAAAAATTATTAATGCGGTTAAATTTTAATACTATGGTTTTAGAAATCGTGTAAAGAATATAATACAGTGACAGACTTAGAGATACAACAAAACAAAATTTTCTGAAGTCATAAAGAAAACCTAAATTAGAAACGTTTAGTATAGCGTGATGGAAAAAGCACATAGCAAATGCTTTACACACTATTCATTTTAGATTAAAAACCAGAATACTTTCTAAAAAACTCACCGACTGTGTTTTTGTATACAATATTACTTAGAAAACAATTTCTTTATCCTGACAGTAAACTATGCAGCGTATCAGACTTACGGGTAAGGTCGCCCTTTCAAATTAATTAATTTAGCTATGCAAAAACATTAGACAAACTGTATTTAGGGTATAATCCGCACCACCACACTTCTATGCTCTGATGCAGTTAACACTCAAATCATAACAGATACATTTGTTAATGTAATGTCTCTCTTTTTTCAGTTGTGGAAATATCTGCGTAAGACTGACCATTACCTCCACATTCAGCAAAGAACATACAACAAAACCACACTGATCTTGTAGCAGATAAACTAAATAAATCATGCCACAATTGACATGTTCCATTATTTGTATGAGCATATGGCATAAGACATACACCATTTCAACAAGTTCAACAGAAAAAAAAACTTCCAGTGTTTTTATTTGCCTATTCTCTGGACTACCCAGTCCTGCTGACAGAGGGGACAGCGATTATTCTGTTTCACCCACAAGGACATGCAGCAATTGTGGAAGGAATGATTGCATTCTCCCCAAACCACTGAAAGAGAAGAAAGAACATGTTCCAGTCACACTCAACTGTGCAATCAACACTACAGCAAGGTCCAAATCATCATTCTCAGATGTTTATAACCACTGCAAGCTTTAGAGACAAAATGGGTCATCACTGATTTATCCACTGAGATTGGATTATTATGGTCATTCTGATGATAGTCAGTTCTCTGTCATCAATCCTTTTACTTATTTCCAACCATGAAAAAAGTAATGAGTATCTTCTCACCTTCTTGTATGAAGTAACAGTTTTGTGAATGTATAAACACATTCATCACGTTGTGTCCAGGAAATACGTGCAACTATCCAAGTTCTTCACTTCACCTTCCCCAGTACCAAAATACAGCCAATGCACTACTGCCTGACTATCATACAAGAGCGTATCACCAAATTCTCACCTGAAATGCGGTGTTTAAACTTAAGTGTACGATATCAAGGAGGCACGTTTGACACATGATATAGCCTCAAAATGGGATCTTAGACCAGAAGTTATTCACAGGCTACAATTGTTTCAACACAACAAAAAGGGTTATCTATTGTCCATCTACTCCTGAATAGTATTAATTTGCTTTTTTCCCTTATGAGTTCACATTTTCCGTATTGGAATACAAGGGTACCAATCAAAGGAATGTTGTAAATTATGCTTTTTTTTTCTTCCTCTCTGACTATCTTAAATAGGACACTTAGCAAGCCAATTAAGATATCTGGAACAGGAAATTCCTTTTCTCACTGAAACAATCATCAAAAACAACAGTGGATTAAGTTTGAGACAATATACTTCAAAACAGAAAGAACAAGGGCATGGAAAGGTTTACCACTGGTTTAAAAGTTGACTTAAAGGTTTAAAGCAAACTCTTTGAGACAATTTTCACTACTTCTGATTTAAATGTATCAGAATTAAGTTAAGATTTGCTTTTGCATACACTGGTATGCAATTGAAAGTATGTTTATGTTTAAACAGCACTATAGCAAACTCAAGTGATTCCACTTTTTCAAATGGAAAGTGAACAAACAAGCAATTGCCTCCACTATGTCTGAATTAAGACTGGGAAGAATACTGCTTTCTAGCCCAGACACACATTTATTTCAGAACAGAGGATTTTTATTGGTATTACCATTGTGTCTTCTGGCATGAATCCTGGAAGAAAAAAAAGTAGCCTTTTACTACCCGCTTCAAAAGTGTACACTATCATCTCCTCAATTATAGTCAGGGTGAGAGAAACTTAAACCTCTCAGTTGCTTATGTGTTGACTGCAAATTTGAAGCTGTTTTGTTCTACAGCATGTCTGAAGTGAAAACTAATTTTATTAGTGCTCAAAAATAAAGCATAAAGTATTACTAATGTAAAAAGATGACACAATGTAGAACAATGTAGACACCAGTTTACTTTTGAGCATTAATAAAATTAGTATTCCCTTCAAACTTTAAAATGCACCCTACTGAGAGAAGCTTCAATTGAAAAACAAGCGAATGAAATCACTACATACCAACACAATCTTCTTGTTTGTTTTCAGCTTGACATCTAAGACAGGCATCTAAAAGTAAACAAGAACAAGACTCAATTTGATTCTCAGGATTCCATCTTAAGAATAGGTTTGTCAGAGGAAAATATAAACTCTAAAACTAATTTACAGAGGTAAAAATCCCAAGTTTTGATGTCTAGTTCAGCCCTTTAACATTAAATAACCCCCCCTAAATTTTAAAATGGTGCACATGACAATGAAAGATATAACTGAAAGAGATCAGAAGGACTATAAACTGTCCAACAAGTTTTGTTTATTTTCCATTGCTCTGGTATTTTCATAACTTCTGCTGAAAAAAAGCCTTCTCCATTTTGTAGATATAACAACCAGCAGATTTGTGCCAAGGCACTCAGGCATATTAAGACCAGAGCAAGCACAAAGCCAAACCCTAATTACAGGACTTTGTTTTTCAGATGTCAGCATCTCCTTTTAAGGAAATCACTCACAATTTTGATTTTTTTAGGCTGTACATCTCTCCCCACAACACCCACCTCCTACTACTTTCTATACAGTCGTTTTCCTTGATAAGTACCTGCATGTAATTTTCATGAGTGTCATATACACATGCAAACATATTGGTCAATTTGATAATATAAATGAATAGATAAACATGGAACAGCATCTGATTAAAAACATTTATCATCTTTATGCACTCCAGTCTGTAGCTATAGGACTGGATGGCAGGTTCAGGACTCAATAAGATACAGAAGTGACAACTTCCAGACTTAGTACTGTGCTACACACATACAGTGGAAAAATGCCTCTGTTTCTCCTTTGCCCCAACATGGCCTGCCATAGACATATGTGCACACACCATGCACAACAGAAAGCGCTCAACTATTATGGGAGCAAAAGTATCTTCGTCTCCTCCAAAGAAAAGGTAATAGTTTAAACAAAGGCTGGACCTGGCCTACATGTCACTAGTTGGACCATATTTTCCTAGAAGACAGAAACATAACGTGCTACAGGAATTTAGATTTGAGTATTTTTGCCTTCTCTGCCAGATACAGCCGGCACTTCTATTTTAGATTCATCTGCCCAAACATTCCTCGTTTTCTCAGGTAATAAAGAACAAAAAGGACACAAACTCTGAAACAGTTGCCCTTTCCTCACTGATATAGAAGTAAGGCAATAAATAAAATTTCCTGTTGTCTGTTCCTATAATTTGTATTTCCACTGCATTTAAGGGCCAAGCTGCAGGGAAGATTCAGCCACGCTGCTTCAACTTGTATCATGGTACATCGAAGCAAACTGATCCGGGGTCACCTCAATATGCAGGGCAGTAAGGTGTGGCAGACTAGTAGTCACTATAAAAGCAGCTTTCCTCTCCTAGCCCTAGATTTGCAGTTTCAGACAGAGAAGCAGCACCGAGAGCTGAGGACAGAAATCACTGCAACCATACCAAGGTAAGCTGTCCCCACTCCTGCATCGACCCCTAAGGGTATCAGTCTGAAAGGTTAAGCAAATCTAAGTCAGTACTGCTGCAATCCTGCCCTTCCCAGCTAACACCTGCATTTTTGCTTCTTTCCCGTGTGCTTCTGTGATCCTTGACGAACACGTTGATTCAAGGAGTTAAACCAGTAGAAAATTCAGCCAGCTAACACCTCCCTCCCTCGCAAAAATCAAACAAATTAACTTTCAACAAGTGCCAGCTTAAGTCTGGCAGCGCCTCCAACCTAAGGTTACTGCAGACGCAGTGGCTCTACAGGAGCCAGACCGGGTCTGGCAGGGTCAACGTGAAATTGCTAAACTAAAGTTAGTAATGATCAAGTTTCACGCTCTAACAATGCGGTTTGTTCTCAAAAAATGGTTACCAGATTTTTCTGCTAGTTTCAGATGAAAAAGTACTCCCTTGGTCTAGTTATGAAAAATTATAAATAAACTTTTTTTTTTTTAAACTTAAAGCTCTAGGTAAGATTTTGTTCATTTAAGACTTTTTTATAGCACCCTGTAACAGGCTAGCTAGAACAGGGAAATACATTCTTAAAATTATGGCTTACACGGAAGATGAAGCCAATTTCCTATTTCCAGGGTGGTCTCTGTTCACCATATAAAAGCAGACAATCTTCAAACCATGCTTATGCAAAAGGTGAATCTCCTACCACTTCAGTCTGGGCTGCATCTTTTTTCCTCTAGTACACCTTTTTGCCTTTTCTGTTCCACAGAACATTCTCAGTAAAAACATGTATGAGAAATGACAGCATTGCATATTTTGTCTCATTTCTGTCAAGCCAAAACCTGACTGGATTTGCAGTATCATGGCTCCTGGACCTACAAAAGCAAGGTGCTGTGGAGGGAATCTTGGGTCATTTGTCCTGCCAGACTGTACCAAGCCCAATGAGAGGACAGTTATGCCTAGGATGACTCAGCATAGTAAAAATCGGATGTAGAGATACAGTAGAGAAAGAATTTAAAGAATTATCAAAGATCTAAGATAAATATCATACTCGTAAAATATGTCAGAAAACAGTAATGCCAGTCAATGATGAAGCTGCTTTCAAAGAGATGCTCCAGATTTCAAAACCAGGTGACCTAACCCCTTTCTTTTCAATAGATTTTTCGGTACGTTCACATGTGTTAAAATGCGCTAGTGATCAGGAGGCTTGGGTAGAAGCGTTAGAGACTCTGGATTAACAGATTTGGAAAATGAATTTATATCGACATCCAAAACTGCTTCTTCTTTTAAAAAAAAATCCCCACCCAACAGAAAAACAGCAGCACCACACATCTAGCACTTTGGTCAGCTCGGCGCTTGCGGAGTTCGCCGACGGACAAGAAACAGACTCCACGAAGAAGGCGCCTTTGCGGAGGCCGGGGACGGCAGGACAGCAGCCCGCCTGCGGGCCCCGGCAC